CCGAACCGCCCGAGAGCCGCGATTGCAGCTTCCCGACAACTTCGAGCACCGACTCCGCCATGTTTACTGCTGGCGCAGGGGGGGGGCTCTTCACGGCGGAAGTGGCGGCGGCTTCGCCTCCTACCCAGGAGGCCGCGCGGCTTCTCGCTCCGCTCAGTCGCTGGCGGACGGCTTCGCCGCCATCTTTGTTCCGGGCCGGGGAAAGGGAGGGGGAGAAAATTCCATAGGTGGAAATGGCAGCGCGACTCGCTCTTTTTCGGGGATTGCGCCGCCATGTTTGAAGCTGGCAAAGGCTTCACGGGTGAGGGAGGTAGAGAGAGATAAAAATATCCATTTCGGTTCAGGGCATGGTTAAAAAAAAACACACACACAGAGACACAGAGCCTTATCAAACCTTAAAATAGCTGAGGGAATGGGTTGGAACCTTCCCATCTTAGAGAAGGGCAATACGTTTCCTTGCTGACGTCCAGCCGCCATTTTGAGTGCTGGCAAAAATGATATTATCAAGAAAGTTGTGTGTGTGTTTAGCAATAATTTCACTGCTCTCATAGTTAAAAGGGTTTGCTAAAAGCTTTCTCCTGGCAGTCCCAAAGCTATTCCTCATGTGCACTAGTGTAAAGGACTGTGTATGAAGACTGGCCAGGACTGAACATATATTAAAATGCAGCTTCCTTTCTGGTAGTCTCACTAGAGCTTGGAAAATTTAGATTATTATTATTATTTTGCTTCCATCTAAGTTGGCAGCTGTCACTACTTCTGCTGGTGGCAGATTTCTCACAGCAGAAATAAATTTCTGAGATTATAACATTGCAAGTACCACTTTCCTAAATTATAAGCCTGCAAATCGGAACTGTATCCAACTATATCATTATCTTGAACATCATGGTCATCACCATAATCATTGAAGTCCCCGGCAAATCTTTCTGGAGAGAAGGGGAAAGACAAGGAGATAGGATAAAATGGACCACAACTCTTCAGACAATTGGGAAATAAATTTCAAACAAAAAAAAACACATGCTACTCCAAATTTAGAAGCCATAGCACAAAACCGTTCTTCATGTGGACAAGTAAAATGAGAGAACTGGGTAAGATGGTTTCTCACTGATGTGGTGGGTTGGTTAGTTTTCACTTGCAAGTGGCTTTTTCTACCTTAAAGGAGAGTATTTTTTTAAAAAAAACAACTATCCTATACATACATGTGGCTCTTAGTATATAAATCTTTTTGCTACAACAGGATCCCACCAGATCGTTCTGCTGCATGTGGAGATGAACCTCAGTAATGGTTATACTAGGAGTCTGGCAAGGTGGGGCAGTATTCACATTAACAAACCTGCGATCATATGTTCACCAGGTGTTTTCTCAATTCACAGTATACTGTATATTCTGTTCGTTCCAGGAGGAGCTGTTGTCTTCGAGTCCATTCCAGAGTTGCCTCTTTGATCAGACAGAATCAGGCAGCCACCTCAGCCAAGCTGATAAGGACCGTCAGGAAGGCAGAAAGCCATTTATATACGTATATATTTACTGCCATGAACAGGAGGTGATTGTTGCAGGATGTTCTACCAAAATGTTTTTGGGTACTACAAACGTCTGTAGCTACGAAGGAACGAGAGAAGATCTTCAAGAGTAATGTTGCATCACCAGAGACCCAGACCAAAAACTATCTGTACTATGATATCCCTCAGTACTATATATGGATGTGAAAGGTGGATTGTGAAAATACGCAGTTTGTTTCAAGCGTGCTGTTCACTGAGACGCTTGCATTTTGAGAGTATGATAAGATAAGGCTCCCTGAAAAAGCTGCAGTAGGAAAAGCAGAAGACTGGACCTGAGATTGATTGATTCAGTGAAAGAAGTTGCAGCATTGAGTTTGCAAGATCTGAACAATGTTCATGACAATGCCTTCTAGGTAGCCTTGTTTGTTTAAAGTATTTTTATCTTGCCTTTCTCCTTAAAAAGAACCCAAGGCGGCTTCCATCGTTCAAAACACAATATTTAAAAGCTAAAAATGGTAGGCATACAAATATTCAAAAAGAATTAAACAGGTATACATTCAAAACAATGTGGACATGTTGGTGCTGTGGGTTAAACCGCAGAAGCCTCTGTGCCGCGAGGTCAGAAGACTAGCTGTCGTAAGATCGAATCCATGCGCCGGAGTGAGCTCCTGTCGCTTGTCCCAGCTCCTGCCAACCCAGCAGTTCGAAAGCATGTAAAAATGCAAATAGATAAATAGGAACCACCTCGGTGGGAAGGTCACGGCTAGTCGCGCTGGCCACGTGGCCACGGAAACGGTCTATGGACAAACGCTGGCTCCATGGGTTCGAAACGGGGATAAGCACCACGCCCTAGAGCCGGACATGACTGCGAAACGGGGATAAGCACCGTGCCCTAGTGCCGGACACGGGGAACCTTTGCCTTTACCACATTCAAAATAGTAATAAAGAGCACAACAATCCATTCAAAAACCCTTCTCAGACTACCAGGTTTTAAGGGAAAGCCTGCCTGAGATTAAAGATCTTTGCCTGCTTGCGGAAAGACTTGACGAATTCATAGGGTTACCCTAAGTTGGAAGTCACTTGACAACATGAAATTCATAAGGTCACCCTAAGTTGGAAGTCACTTGACAACATGTAACAACAACAAACTATGCACCATGACAAGGGATGTGGGAAGCAATGTTTCTTAGGTAGCCCCTGGCAAGGTCTGATGTCCTCCTCTAAGGTCTGGCAGCGTGTGGCTGACATTGGACAGTCTCCTTTTCCAGAGCCCCCCCCCAATCATCTTTTCTGTATCACACTTCTCTCACCAAGCTGGTGTAAGAGGAGACAGAAGGATCGTCAGCTGGCTGCTGAATTAGGAAAGAGGGAGGAGAGAGGTGGGGGGGGGACCAGACACCAAATAGTTGCTACATTTTTGGGATTTCAGCTGGGGCGCTCACTGTATTCCAGCTCCCGCACGGTACAAGAGCTGGTTCTTTCGACTAGATCAGGCCTCTCGGCACCAAGGTAAGGAGCAGAAGTGGCTTTTGTCTCAAACTGGCTGGCGAAAGGCAACGGCGGTCCTTTCTAACTTTAATATTTGCACAGTGGTTGGCAGGTCACTTTGAGCTGTTCGGAGCTTGGGAGCAGCCAAAGAAAATCTGCCCTTCTTCTAAAAGCGACACCAGTGACCAAATGGAAAGAGGGGGAAGGGAGGCGTCTGGCATACACGGCTGACATGCCTAGCCAGAAATCTCAGTATAGTATTTATTTTTTTCATATATATATATATTCCAATATATGAACCATTTTGGTTCCCTTTCCTTTGCTGCAGCTGCGGTTTTAGGTCTAAATAAAGAGTTAGTGTTATACTTTTAAAATAAAAAAAATCCTTCTGGAATGAAAAGGAATATTAATTTTATATAAAATTATTTTTTTAGGAATTAATTAACGCTAACTCTTTATTTAGACCTAAAGCCGCAGCTGCAAGAAAGGAAAGGGAACCAAAAATGGCTCGATTCTTTAATTAACCCAGAAGTGGGCAGAAGTTCTGATAGTGCTCAGAGATGAGCGCCAGATAATTGGGGGGGGGGGAGCCACTGAGTTGCCTTCCGGTAATTCAGATTTTGCCAATACTGAACTGGGTGAAACTTGGCTCAATCCAGGAAAACACATCTTCCAATCTGAAGCAATGAGTATGGCTTCACTTACTCCCGCCTCCTCAAATCCCCACTTTCCAGATGTGTTAAACTGTGCCTCCGGTAACCGTCAGCCAGCATGGGGGATGTAGTACAACACACCTGGATAATGTGCATCTGGAGTATCACAGGCTGCCAACTTATTTTTTTTTAACAGTCAAGAATTTTAAGATGTGCATTCTTGCTTTATTATTTAAAACACATGGGTGGACAGTGGTGACAGCAACAATTGATAGGCTGTACAAAATTGGTTGGCCCAGCACTGATCTAATATCCTAGTGTTGCTAAATATTTGTCGAGAAAAAAAGGCAGGGACCTTGTCAAGTCTTTGGGTATACCAAATCCCAAGCACCAAGCCTGAGTCCCTATTAAAAACAAGTTTTTTTCCCAAGAAAAAGAGAGAGAGGATGTGTGGGTTTACGAGTCGCAAGTTCAGTCCAAGTTATTAAAAAACAAACAAACAAACCAAGTTTAGTCTGAGTAGAGTCACTGACTTGACAGCGATGGGATTCCATTAAGGTATATAAAAGCCGGGGGTGTGCAGAGTATTTACCTGAAATGATTTGACCATTGACAGCAGTATTTATTCATTAATTGTTATTTTTTCAACTCATGAAGAGAATAAAGATCTAGGTTCCCAAATGAATTCAGAAGATTCCTTGTTCATGTATTTAATTTACCTTGGTTTGATAGAAAGATTGGAGGCAAGCCAACAGCACAAACCTATGCAGGCTTGTTTAGATAAAAGTAGTCCTGCTTAGTTCAATGGCACCCACTTCCAGGTAAATGGGCAGGTAGAAATACTTGGTATTTGGGAGGAAACCCCCACTGTTCTCCCTGGGACACACAGCTAGGTAGACACTTATGGGAGGACTGAAGACTTAGTTGTCCTCAGATTCACAGAAATTAGAAGAATTCCAGGATAGGGTATTTGTATCCTCTTAAGTTTCCCTTCAGGCTCAGATCTTGCTGGAAAGTGGCTCGACATCCAAGTGACACTTTTCTCCTCTTGTTTCATAATGCTTCCCCCCCCCATTCCCAAACTTTTTTTTTACTTCTTCAACCCCTAGGTTTAATTTTTTGTTCCTGTTTGTTCTGCTGATGACGTTCTTCCTGCATAGCAACCTCAGGGGGGCTCATTAATCTTGTATAGCTTGTCGACCTATGAATTAGTTCTTTGATTAATTGATCTTTGCAAGGAAAAAAAACCCACAACAGTTAACAGAGTGCGGGAGTTGCTCTTTGCAGTTCACAGCTTGCTTTCTTATTCTTTTTTTAAAAGATACATTTTAGAATTTTAGTGCTACATTGCTCCCCCTTCTTATAATCCTGTCTGTCTGTCTGTCTGTCAGTTGTTCATCTAGCAAATTGCTACTCTGGATGGTGTGCAACAGGAGGAAAAACACAATTATAAATCAAACTCTGATAGACAAGAAAAAAATTAGACAGGTAATAAAAAATGTGTTAGCTGACATATACAGATATCCAAACAGAAGGTGAGTCGCGTTATGTCAGCAAAAGGAAGATCCAAAAGCAGCTGGCAAAATATCTCCAGGTAATGAGATCCTACCATGTGTTTCAGAGAGGGTGTAATCCTGCTTTCCTGCCTGTAAAGTGGAAGGAGGGATGCTATGATGCTTCCTCGTTCAAGTAAAAATAATAATAAATTAAAAACTAAGGGGAGCTTGTGGGAGGAAGTAGAATCGGAGAAAAAGGAGATGTCACTGAAAGCTTAGATGTTGTAAATGCTGTGTATTTGATTTCCTAACCCACCTTGTTCATCCCTATGGTTAAAGTTAAATACTGGCAGGCCTGAAGGCCCTAACTTTCCATGTTCTTCCAGGAAAAAAAAAAGAACAAATGGAGTTAAAACCAATCCTCCATCTAAACAAGCCTCAAGTTAATTGTGGTTAGAGTTGTACATGTTTGAGGCTTTGGACTAAAAATCCCTGACTTTGAACACAAGCAACTCCCCCCCATCCCTGGTTTGGAACCATGACTTAAGGACCTCAAATGAAACCTAAGGGCCATAAAATTCATTTACTCTCTTATTTTTCCGCTACCTCATTTTAGCGCGCCAATGTGTTCAGTACAGGTTCAAATTCACTTCGCTGTTCCTTCAGAAATTATCGGGAAACAGAGGTAGGGCACCCCAGAAATGAGGGCAGCCAGCACTTATCCATAAAAGCATTTCCTCCCAGGCCCCAAGTTCATATCACCCTACGAAGGCTTGGCCAACCCTCATGCCTGCCGTGCAGGTGGCTTCTACGCTACCCAGAGGTTCATTGGCCTACAATGAAATTCACAGTGTTTGAAGACGCCACCCTACCCATCCATAAATATGTCCTAAACCTATATTACCTGGGGCATGCTTAAATGGCGGTGCTGTTTTTCTTTCATTGTCTTTCACTCAAATATATATGCCTCTATGCACCACTTGTATTTTTTTAGAAATATGCAGAAAGCCATGCTCAACTAGATCCAAAGTCCAATTGGCTCATCTAATATACTACTTCCCGGAGTGGCCAAAGAGATGCCCTTAGAGGAAGCCATCCAGCAGGACGTGAAGCCAGGATCTGGCCCTCCTGCTTTTACCTGCCTGTATCCACCCTCACCCCCAGGAATGGTTATTTCTTTCACTGATGAAAGTCTGTCTGAACAGGGGCATTCCATTTTGTTCCTTATCTGCCGGAGACCCAGTGTGGGGCAGATACCCAAACCACCAAGTTCTCCAGGTACTGTATGCCGTAGCACACGAAACAAGAGATTCACAGACAGATGTATTACACACACACACACACAGCACCAAAGGTGCAATCTCAGAAAAACATTACAATAATCAGTGGCAAGGCACTTTGGTTTCAAACGTCACCTCTCGATTTTCACTGGAATCAAAATGTCATCAGAATCAAGAATACAATCTCTGCTTGCATGATCTTACGCGTATCATAATTTTGCATCCTCTGCCTTCTGTAACTGCTGCATTGGGTGTAGCATATGTTTATTCAGAGTTGCTGAAAAAAATTATACACACGTACAGGGATATGCATTTTGTAGGGGTCATAAGCCTAATCGACGTCATGATCTTAGAACGGCAGAGTCAATTTTAAAATAACCAGACCACAAACTGTTTTTAAAAGCAGCACCCTTATAAATAAAACTGATGAACAGCTTGCGAATCACACAGCACAACATGAGCTTATCTTCCTGAAGCTTGGGAAGGAAGGGGTGAATCAAGCCTCCCAAATGAGGGAATGGCAAAGCTGGACAGCTCAGTGGGTTAGGGGTCTGGCTGCAGAGCCAGAGATTTGAAGTCCATTTCTTTGCCGTGTCTCCTTGACGCAGTGCTGGACGTGATGATCTATAGTCTAGGGTCTCTTGCAGCTCTGCAGTTCTAAGATGATGGCGGCAGCAGCTGTTATTGTTGTTGGTTCAGGTGCTACTATTGAGAAGGCCCTGCTCCATGGACTGGCTGATGACACTTGGGATGACAAGAGGACATGGAGCAGAGCCTCCCCTGAAGACATGAACAAGGAAGCAGAATCAAGTAGGAACAGGATATCCTTAGTATATCCCACACCCTGAGGAGTCAAATGCTCTGAATGGTTCATTTCTGGCAGCCTCTTTCTCAGCGTGTCATTTCAAGACAGTTTTCAAGGGCAGACCCATGCAAAGTGTCTTGCGGTAATCCAGCCTAGATGGAACTGGAGCACATCCGATAGCGATCAAATCAGCTTTCTCCAGGAAGGGTGATTGTTGGTAGATAACGAATGATGCACAAACACAGCGCTGGCCTCAACCTATTAATTCGGCTTCAGGGTTGGGTTCAGAAGCACTCCCAACTTGACGACCTGATCCTTCAGTGGCTTCTTCATTCAGAGAAGCAAGCTCCAACTAACATCACGGCTACAGAATGCAATAAAAAAAGTCGACAGGAAAGTCATGAACGGTCTTCTGTTTCTCGTCCTTTGCCTCCTTCTCGTCCAGTTCTAAGAATTACTGATTGCTTAACCCTCGGAAACCTGATCCTTACATCTAGCTCCGAGAGATGCAAGACAGAGGCAGTCTGGCTATTTCTGTCTTGTCACAAACAGGTTTGCTACCCAGCAGCTTAGGTATCTCCCTCTCTCTCCCTCCTCACAGCGTCAAAGGGGAGGTGGACAGAAACAGCTGAGGGACAGCTGAGCCCCCTGTTAGGAATACACCCACGTGTGGAGGGTCAGGATTCGTACGGCATGCTTAATTCAGAGATTCACTGCAGTGCCGTAATGTGCCGAAGTCTGAAAGGCCACACGTGGCAGGACACCTCCTCATTCTTGCTCTATTCCTGTGCCAAATTTAGGAAAGTTTTGGCCTACGGTTTTTAAATTATGATTTTTAAAAGTAAAACTGTTCTCACCATGGAGAAACCAGTGACCCTAAGTTTATATCCCAGATTTAAAATAGTTCATACACATTGAAAAGACCAGTTCTGTTTATCTTGAAAGAGTGATAAACATCTTGAAAGAATTTATCGTGAAAGAGTGAAATAAAGAGTTGGTCCCACCCACTTTTTTTTTTGAAAGAATCCTGGCTGCTGGGGCTGAAATATTGATCCTTGAAAAAAGCCTTTCAAAGGAAAAACAACCACATAAAACTGAGCATGCGTGGAACAGGCTTACCAGCAAGAGCATTCCAAGTTACATTGTTGTAGCTTTGTTGGCTGGGAAGCGAAATGTTTTGAGGGCAATGAGAGATCACAGAAACAATGGCAAGTTTTCTTTGAAGAGTCAGAAAAATAGGTTTGCTTTAAAGAATGCAGTGGAGTGACAGTCATCCAGAAATGTGACATTTTGCTACATACAGTATATCCTGGGAATTAGCATTCAGTTTTGGAAGGCATATTCAAAGTGAAGTAACGTTTCTCCCAGCCCTGAGTGTTTCACTAAACATTATCTCAGGATTTCTTCTTGTGATTGTACATTAGTCTCATAATTAAGGAAAAAAACTCTCCAAATATGTTATGTGCCCTCAATTTCAACAAGAAACACAAATACAAAATGAAATGGGTGGGGGGAGACCTTATGGCACCTTAAAGACTAACTGCTATAATTTAATGTGAGCTTTCATGGAACATGTCCATTTTATCAGACACAAGTTAGAATAAAGAGACTAAAGCATTGATGAAAAGCTCTAAGATAAAGGGGACAGGAGTGTTTGGTTGCATTTTGAATAATGATTGGTGACCTGTTTAGTATTCAGTTCTTTTGAAGTCTGGTTCTGTAAACAGCAACAATGATTAAAGGAAACATCAGAGGAACAACATGAGGTAACGAGAAGAATGACAGATTTTACTTTTGAGCCTTGTGCTGAAATGGGGTCTGGTTAATTGGAAAATAACAGTAGCTAACAACATAATTATTACATTTGATGATGACATGAGAAACCTTGGTTAATATTTAATTAATTGAGATGGTGTCCAACATATGTATATATTTTATCTCAGCCGTTTCCCTCTGGATTCTTGTTCTATAGTTTTTCTTCTCCAGAATAGCAACTTTCATATCTTATGAAGAGTGTCCTGGTAGATTTAAATGATTTGAGACAGGTTTCTGTGTATTGCGATGTCTGATTTATGTCCATTACCGTAATTCTTTTGCATAGATATTGCCCTATTTGTACTATGTAAGCGCAGAGACGCACTGTTGGCAAAAGACAGCATAAATCACATTAGCGAAGAACAAGTAAAGGTGCCCTTGATGTTATGTGCGACACTGTTGGGAAGAGCTATAAATTCCCACAGAAATGTAGGAATTGAATAGCACCGCACAAGAAATACGTAACATGTGAAGCTTCAATTCATCTGACTGGCAAGTATTTTCAAACTATATCATAGTGAAGAAAGCAAGTCTTTCTGCCATTAACTAGTTCTTTTAAACTTTATTGCAAATTTACCTGGGATTCTGTGGTCACAGAGACACTCCAAAGATAGCAGAAGTATTAGCTTTGTGTTCATTTTCACTCTCCATTCACTGGAAGACAGGAGACTGTCCTATATTGTATCAGGTAATTAGTTTATCTAGCTTGGTAATCATCTGTGCCTGGAGGTGAGATCTTCTAATAGATCTCTGGATGATTTGCTATATATCAGATGGGATTTCTGACTTCCACTTACATCACACCCGCAGCCACAAAGCAAATTTGTTTCTTATCTTATCTCCCTTCAACTGAGAAAGCTGTGGGTGACAAAAAACCGATTGCTGTGCTGATCAGCTGACACCACCCTCTAGGGTTTCAGAAAGAGAACATTCTCAGTCACTCCTGGAGATGTTGGGCATTAATTTGGGACTTTTTATGCTCCACTAGGGAGCTGTCATGACCCTTTCCTTCAGAATAAGTGAGCCCAAAAAGCCCTAATTGGGAACTTTTGCAAAAACGTAGGCCTGTTTTTAAGGCGGGGATCGGGGGAAAAGGGTATGTTTCAGATCCTTTCCGACATGCCAGAAATGTTGTGCACAATCAATGTGGAATGCATTCAGTGAAGGCATTAAAAAAAAACTTTAAAATCACATTGCCTTGGATAAAACTAAAGCAGCCACAGATTTTGCGAGTGAGGTTGGTCTTAGTATCTAGTTCTTGATAGATTAGGGCCAGATTCATAGACCCACTTTAATTTGTCTAGCGTGTCTTCATACATGCCGTCCTACAGCGGTGCTTGACAAAGTTGCTTCCTCTTTCATATGTCCTCACAGGCAACTCTTTGCTCCAATGGCACCCAAGAAGAAAGTCTCTAAGAAGACCAAGCTGGTGAAGAAAGAAGACCCTGCGAACGCTACCATAGTAGAAGACTCCTCTCTTGACATCGACCATGACCACCACCATCAGCTGGATGAACTGCTCGAAAATGGTTCCGACGGGTTTCGCTGCACTGCCACAGAAGTTTTCGACCCACGGCATGGGATCAATGTTCTAGAGGAGATGCGCTCTATGCACCAGGATAGTTTTCTTTGTGACCTTACTGTGAACACTAAAACAAAATCTTTCAGCGTCCACAAGCTGGTGATGTCCTCGAGCAGCGAATATTTCAGAAGCCTACTGAAAAGAAATCCTAGCATTCAACAAGTGGACCTGAAAGACATCTCCCCTTTAGGCTTGACTGCTGCCATTTCCTATATGTACACGGGGAGGCTGACTCTTTCTCTGTACACCATTGGGAGCATGATTTCTACGGCCAGCTCCCTGCAGATGGGTCCACTGCTCAACATATGCACTGACTTCCTCATCCAGGAAATGAATGTAGAAAACTGGATGTACATTGCCAACATGGCAGAGACGTACAGCCTCAACAAGACGAAGGATGCTGCAAGAGAGTTCATCCGAGAACATTTCCTAGAGTTTTCCGAGACTGAACAGTTCATGAAGCTCACCTTCGATCAGCTCAATGACTTGCTTATGGATGATGACCTTCAGTTTCCCAACGAGGTGACCGTTTTCCAGATCGCCATGAAATGGATCGAATTTGACCCCAAACGGATCCAACATGCCCCAGACCTTCTGAACAACGTCCGGTTTGGTACCATCCCAGCTCACGACCTGATCAATTACATCCAGCCGGTGCCGTGTATGATGCAAAACCCGGAATGCCATCGGCTTCTGGTTGACGCTATGAACTACCACTTGCTCCCTTATCAGCAAAATGAACTCCAGTCCAGAAGGACCAAGATTCGAGGGAGCCATAAAGTCTTGCTCATGGTTGGTGGGCGCCCTTGCACAGCTGACAAGGCGGTTAGTAAAGACGTAAGCTACAGAGATCAAGAAGGGAACTGGAACAAGATCACAGAGATGCCCTCCAAGTGTTTGAACCAATGTGTCGCAGTGATGGATGGATTCCTGTACGTGGCAGGAGGAGAAGATCAAAGTGATGCCCGGAACCAGGCAAAGCATGCCATTAACAATCTGTGCAGGTAATACAAAGCAAGGCAACATTGAAAGTGGTCGTAGGTAGACCAGACCATTAGTTCACCTAGCCCAGTGGTTCCCAACCTTTGGTCTCCAGATGTTCTTGGACAATAATTCCCAGAAGCTTTCATCATTAGCTGCGCTGATCAGGATTTCTGGGAGTTGTAGTCCAAGAACACTTGGGGAACCAAGGTTGGGAACTACTGACGTAGCCCAATATTTTCTGCTCTGATTGAGAATGGCTTGGAAAAGTGTCCAAGCAGAGCTCCTCCTGCTCAGACATTCTGACGGGAATGTTTTAACCAACTATGCAGGGGTTCTAATAAGAGCTGAGCAGGGCTATGGGTGACAGGACTTTCTGGAAGTCGCTCATTCATAGGGTTGCCATGAGTCAGAAAGGCCCTCACGACAAATGCAGAGAATTATGAGGCAGGGTGGCTCTTAAGTGAGTTCCCAAAATGATCCTGCAGGACACAATCCAAACACATGAAGGTTACTTTATTCTTAGAGTATTGATTCGCCAAGGTCATGAGGGTCTACTCCAGAGGTAAATGACATTTGGCCCACCAGATATTTTGGATTACAGCTCCCATGTGCCCCAGCCCACTTGGCCAGTGGCCCTGGGTCATGGGAATTGTAATCCACCTACCTGGAGGGCTTACATCCTTGCCTAGCTTGACTACGGTAATTATGGCTCTCCATTCTCTCAAGCAGAGGTCATTTAATGGGGGCTGTTGAACACAACTTCTTGTACACCTACAAGATGTGTGTTCTGCTAGTGAGATCGAGATCATCATCATCATCTTAAAACTGCAGAGCTGGAAGGGACCCTATGATAGTGCTTCCCAAGCAAACCTGGTATCATCTCAGTCCAGGGTGACTGGGAGAGAATCATGAATCAGCCATCTGGATCAGAAGGGTTGAATATCTTTGAGAGCCATACTCTTGGAAGGAAGGCAGGTTGGGCAATCAGACTGAGTGAAAAGAAAAGCAAGGTACTGTATATTGTAATAGAAGCACCTGGAAAAGACATTTGGCAGATCCTTCTTTCGTTCCTTTTCATGTATGGTGTATCCCTCTCACCTCCTAATTCAGGGACCCAAGGCAGGTGGGGTGGGGCATTCGCCAAGGTCATGAGGGTCTACTAGAATACATAACCCATGCGTCCTTTGACAAGAGATGCCTTACAGCCCATTGCAAAAATGTGCACAGTTGTGTGAGATAGCAATAAAGGGAGATAAACTGTAGTAAGGACAGCTATCCGAGTAAAAACAGGGGGAAAAAAAGAAAATCCAGGAAATGAAGACAGCACTAAGAAGGGGGACGTCACACTTTTAGACTACAATTCCCAGAATTCCACAGTCAGCATGGCCACCGCGGGTGGTAAGTTTCTAGTTGTAGTAAAAAAACAAAAACAAACTGTGCTTCTTCCGCAGGTACGATCCCCGTTTCAGTACTTGGCTCCCCCTGGCCAGCATGTCTCACAGAAGAACACACTTCAGCCTCACTGCATTCAATGGCCACCTCTATGCCATTGGGGGCCGCAACGCCAAGGGGACCCTGGTGTCCATCGAGTGCTATATCCCTTCTTCCAACAACTGGCAAGCCAAAGCCAACATGGAACTCCCCCGCTGCTGCCACGCCAGCACCGTGATCGACGGCAAGATTCTGGTGACCGGCGGCTACGTCAATAATGCCTATTCCCGCACCGTTTGCAACTACGACCCCGCTACCGATTCTTGGACAGACTGTGGTTGGCTGAGCGGTCCTCGAGGCTGGCATTGCGCGGCCACGTTAGTGGATCGCGCCTATGTCCTGGGGGGCAGCCAGTTGGGCCCCCGAGGAGAGAGGGTGGATGTCGTCCCTGTAGAGTGCTATAACCCGTCAACAAACCAATGGAGTTACATGGCCCCACTGCCCGTTGGGTTGAGTATGGCCGGGGTGGCTACCCTCGGGGGCCAAATCCTGCTGGTGGGGGGCTGGAACGAAAGTGCCAAAAAGTATCAGAAGAACATCCTGGCCTACAACCCTGACCTGAACGAATGGATCGAAGATGGGGAGCTTTCTGAAGGCACGGTGGGGGTTTCGTGCTGCACCATCGCCCTTCCACACTCAAGCACCAGAGGGTCCAGGGCAAGTTCTGTGGGGTCACTAGCCGTCAGCATGTAAAGGTGGAAAGTTGGCTGGGCAGGACAGAAGGGAGCACTCATCCTGGTTGAAGGCAGACATGTTTGAATGGATCACAAGCTTGGTAAGGTGCTGTTTACCATGGTTTCTTTCTACATCTTCTGGAGGTGCAGCCTTCTAGCTATATACTGTTAGCTCTGGCCTACTACAGGGTTACCTTATAGCCACAACTGATCCTTCTGCTTTGTGGAAACAACTTTGGGTCGTTAGCTCTGGCCTACTACAAGGTTACCTTATAGCCAACTGGCCTTATGACTCTTCCTTCTGCTTTGTGGAAACAACTTTGGGTTGACCGTGCATGAAGTTATTTGCTCTAATTGCACTTAGTGACCAGATCTTCAAGCAAATCCCTAAAACGTCCTCTTGCTGAAACAACTCACTGCCCTCAAATACTGTTCATGAGTCGTCAAGGACATTTTTGATCTTCACGTACGCAACTGGCATTGAGGGCTCATCCATTCTAAATGAAGTGTGAGATATGCTGTGGATCTTTGTTGGCTTCTCTATCATGGGTGTGGAGCTTTAAAAAACTGACACCAAGCGGGCAGGTTTGCATGGAACGCTATGGCAGGAATGGATTCTGGGAAATAAGACAAATGTGTTGTGTGTTTGTGCAACCCATTCAATCCTGCCTGGCTTCTCTCACTAGCACAAGCAGCTCATTGAGCCAGAAGTTTGTTTTTTTTAACATGCTGTGGAAACCCAGAATTCTGGCTGACGATTCCTTTTTGCAAGCCATGATCCTAACCCAGGGTTTGTTCTTGGTTTATGCATCCTGGCTTGTTTGGGATCTACAAGCCAGCACCCCCAGTGTGAATACTTCTTGTTTAAATAAAGAGCACAATATATTGTCTCCTCCCCTCTACATCAATGATTCCCAGATGTTGTTGGACTACAACTCACAGAAGCCTTCACCACTAGTTGTGTTGGCCAGGATTTCTGGGAGTTGTAGTCTAAGAACATCTAGGAACCCAAGGTTGGGAACCACTGTTGAGTGGAAATGAAAACTGCAAGTTTTCTTGAATGAAAGAGTGCAGGGAACAAGTGAGAAGTCGTACTCCAGTGGAAACAAGTTTCTGAGAGAAAAAAAAGAAGAAAAAACTATTGGGTCTTGCTGACTACAAAAAAGCCCAACGCGACACACGGTCTCCCAATAAAGGAAGGCCAAACGGTGGAGAACCACAGTAAAATACTGGGAAATACCACAGGTCTCCAATGTATGGTAAAGCCCATTCAGATCCACAATTCCCAGAGTAATAGTATTCTAAATGTAACATCACATGACCTGGAGAGACCCTATTTCCATGATGTTAACTTTTTTTCCAGAGCTCAGCCTTAGCAAAATTCATACCCAAAGAAAACCAAAGATACGTCTGAAAGCAGCTGAAAAATGTCAGGAAACTTTGCAGTAACTCAAAACACATTCACTCTGGGCAGAAATTGATGTTTGGATCATATATGGAGGTTCTTAAAGCAACACTCGTAGCTATTTACCTTGACATGAACGTGTGTGCTGGCTAGCTGTGTACTGCCACCTTCCTGTCCTCAACAGGGCTCCCAGGGAGATTTGCAGATTAAAATAATTAAATACAGATTTGAAGCATCCTTTTAAAACCAGGTAAGAACCATTCTTTAAAAGCAGATCTGACGCATTCTCTAAAAGCTAGTTCCAAAAGCAGACATGCTGCCTCAAGGCCCTTTGAAACAATACAATTTTAGTATTGTATCAGCCACTCAGCGGAGATTGAGCCACTCAGCGGCGTCTCTTCCCCTCGAAGGGAAGATCGGAACTCTGGGCAGCCGCACGTAATAAAAGTGCCATCTGGCACAACTAGAGCAAAATGATCAGACCGACAAGGACGCAACCAGACGCGTGCCATCTGTTCGAGGAACCAGCAAGGGAAAGCCAAGCAATTACTGGCTTATTAATTGAGCCTGCTGAGACTCTCATATGAGAGCCAGAGTGGAGTCGCGGATAGATTGCTGAACTCAGGGGATTGGGTTCAAATCCCCCGCTTGACTATGCAAACTCACTTGGGGCAGAGGGGCGAGGCAACGGAAAACCGGTTGTTGAACCAACCCTACTAAGAGATGCGGAGAGTTGGAAACAACTTGCTGACACAGAACAGCAACACCATGGAAAACTGGTCATTGAACCGTCCTACTAAGAGTTGCTGAGAGGTGAAAACAACTTGCTGACACAGAACAGCAACACAATTGAGACTTTTCAGGCACTCAGGAGAAAGAAGATCCATCAGAGCATACTATGCAAGAACAGTTCTCAATACCTTCCACGTACTGTATCGGGGGGCATTCGGGAGCCCTGTTTTCTGAACAGCTTAGCCTACAGTGATCTTTGGGGCTGGCTCTACCGTTTGGTGCCAGGCACCTGTCTCAGTTGGGAGAGGAGGGAGGGTTGGGGAGATAGCAGCAACTTCCTGGTCATTCTCTCATATTAAGAAGAGTTTCTTGGGCCACAAAATCTACTCTGCACTCCCTCAGGTAAGCCTGCAAGGCCTGAGTTCAGGTGGAAGAGGTCGGCTCACCACCAATGCCAATACAGATTCAATGGTTGGTCCAATCAGCTGCTGCAGGTATTGATCTCACTCTGTAGCGGTTTCTCACTTGTCGTCATAAATGCCAACACCCGGTCCCTGCCAGCTCTATTTTTGAACGCCCATTGCCAAGGTCATACAACCGACACTCTGCTCCACCGGACATTTCAGCTTCCCAAAGCTGTACAGCCCAGGCCACAGAATGGCTTTGATCTCTAAGGTTTATTATTATTATTATTATTTTAAAACCCAGGCCATAGAATGGTTTTGATCTCCAAGGTTTATTTCTTTTTTTAAAAAATAGCAAATCCTGAGAAAGTACGTTGCCAGTGGCAAAATAATTAGGCTGTAAGTTCACATCAGTAATTGCAAGGTGCTTGATGGAACAGGTCTCTGCTAGAACTCACGCACCTGGACGTGTCTGGACTAGGACAGTTCAAACACGGGGAATGTAACATTTATGCTGTTGGAAAGACAGAAAAAAGCACAAGCCACTGCCGGAAAAAACACAAGGTTTTCCCCTTGACACAAACATGCCTCAAGAGGTCCTGACCATTTAGAAGATGACTTTTCTACCAAACCAGATAATTGGGTTTCTCTGCGCCACTTCAAGGGAGGGCCAAATTCAATCTAACCACGGGAGAATACCTTTCTCTCTTAAAGACAGGGGTGGGCAAAGTATGGTTTGCAGGTGACCCCACACCTTCAAGACTGTGTAGCCTGCAGTTCCTGCTTCCAAAATAGCTAGACATCCACTCCTTAAATTGAAACAATAGGCCAAGGTATTCCCTTCCTCACAACGGGAAGTAGCGGGGCCCAGAAATGCCAACGGTGCTCCCATAAAAGCTTTTTAGAGGGTGAGGGGACACCTGGAAGGGAAAGTGTTAACATTTGCTCCTTCATCTAAAGTTTACCTGGATCAGCCCTCACGGCCTCAAGGCTACTCCCACCCCAAAAATTGGCAATGATGGGTGTACTTGTACCCACTACAGCCAGTAAAAATGGTACATCTTTGTCCCTGGTACAGACAAATGCCTCTGGGGCAAACCTTTGTCTCAATCTCACCCAGCCAACTCAAGGCATGCATGTTAAAGCATCCTCTGGGTGCCACATCCTCTTCTTCTATTGTGTTAATCTACAATCCAAGTCCTCATTGTCCCTTGGAACGGTTCAGGGCTGGCTCCGCTCGAGGAGGAGAGACTCTCTCGCCTTGTGACCTACGTAGAGCAGTACATCCTGTGACGGCTAGGAATGAAAGATACGGATCCTGCAGTTTCCCTCCTATGTTACATGGTTTACAACGACAGTGACTGAAGCTGCCGTCTATCACTCCGAGAGTCCCTTGGGACCTGGGAAGGACACGATCTTTCTCCCCAAGGTTTGGCAGCACTTGGTGAGGGTCCAAAAGAGAAGGGGGAACAATCAGATGTTGGAAGCGAGGCATGGGAAATTCTGGTTTTTTGGAGCGAAACTCCCAGAATTCTCCCAGAACTCACCAGGCAGAATTCTGGGAGCTTTAGCCAAAAGCATGCAGATCAATTTTTGTTACTTACACGTGGGTCCTTGTCATCTCTCCCCCCCCCCCCCCCTTTTTTGGGCTTTTCAGCGGGGGCAGCACCCCGGGT